GTAACATGGTTGCTTTCTCTGATGGAGTTTTCAGTTGAGGCTGCATAAGATTTTTTATTTCGAAAGCATTGGAGACAAAAGTGAGTATAAAAAACAATGATGAAACATTTGAAAACTACTTTTGCAGAAAAACTGCTGCAGCTAATCTAGCAATCTAGTTCTCAGCCGCGTGTCTGTTAATGGCAAGAGTACCTTTCTACATGCTTTAGTTGATGTTCATTTATGGTATGCTCAGTCTTTTATTTTTTTTTTGATGAGAACCCAAACTCTGCGTATCTTAAAGTATAGGTATTTTCATTCATTTTATTTTAAGATACGTCTTCCTTGCGTTCGTCTTCCATAGGTTTAGGATTTCAATGACCAATGTTGCTTGATTTGAAACTTAAAATTTCCTGCAGAAATTTAGCAGTTTACCCCTGGGAACAGCGAGTTTTTAAACTAGATTTTCTCTGAAGACGATTCAGCGTCGTTATTTTTATTTGATCGGTTCTAAGAATCAAATTTATAAAGGAGTACAGCATACTAAGGCAGCGCAGAAAAATCCACGTTCTTTTTTTCTCTCAATGTTAAACAACGCAGGAGGCTCATAGAATTTGGCAATTCCACCAAATAAAAGTTTTGGTCGTAATGGAAACCAAAGTAAGGAGTAAGCTAAACTAGTAAGTTAAACAAATTCACAGCATTCAGGATGTTCTAAGCAGTTCTTTGTCGGTTGCCGGTTGGTTATGGTTAAATTATTCTGTTCTTGAAATTAAACTGTAGAGGCTTCAAATTGCTTTTAATTGTTCTATTCACAACTAAGGTATTATTTCGAGAAATTTGAGTGTCAAGTAATTATTTATCAAGTTCTATAGTTTATTTTGGAGCTAAATTTCTATTAAGGACTTCACTAGTTATGATTTTTCCACCTTCAGCAGCAAGACATTATAGTTAAAATTTACTCATCTCTGTCAGTCTTAGGTATTTATAAAATCAAACTCGTGGAAGTATTTTAAGTTCTTTAAGAAGTAAAAGCAGCTTCCATTAAGGTTGTTAAGTCTCTTATCTCATTGCAGTGTTACCAAATCTTTTGGTTTGCAGATCATATGTATGGCAGCTGGAGTATATTTTCTGTTGGAACCCATGGTGCTAAGTGTTTTGTACATTTGGTGCCAGCATAACCGGGATCAAATAGTACAGTTTTGGTTTGGAACTCAATTTAAAGCAATGTATTTGCCATGGATATTGGTTCTGTTCAACATGATTATAAGAGGTGGTGGTATGAATGAGTTGATTGGCATTCTTGTTGGACATCTTTATTACTTTCTGATGTTTAAATATCCACAAGAGTATGGCGGAAGTTCTTTTATTTGGACTCCCGGGTTTCTGTGAGTCTTTCTCAAGACATATTTTTTGCATGAGTCGGTATTTCTGTTTTCTCATTGAGGTAAAAGTTAAGTGAAGATGCGCCCACTTTTTTTCTCAAAGTTGTACATTTTTTATTCCAGGTACTCGTGGTTTCCCAGTACTGCTGGTGGTATACACGGATTTGGTACAGTTCCAAGAGATCGCCAAAGGGATAACGATAGCCGACGCACGAACTGGGGTCGGGGTAGAGTTCTAGGAGAATAACTGTGAGTTTTCTAAAATCCATTGAGAAATTCAACTGTAAATTCATGTCAGCTTTTCGATTTAGTTGTCCCGGATGCGATAAACATTGAAGTAATATCTCTGTTTTATTCAGTCTCCGTCTTAATTTGTTATTTTGCTTTGTTCCACAGTCCAATATTGGGAGAAACTGTGCGAACTGAGAAATCAATTGTACGCCTTTTGTTTCTACCTTAGCTGATTTTTCGTTTTAGAACATGTTGGCCGGTAGTTTGGTGTAGATCTTCAGAAAACGGTTCATAGTGAGCTATATAAATATGAGTTTGCTGTAGCTATATGGTTTTTCTGTTTGAAGACGTTGATGAAACCATTTCTTTTCTTGTGTTTCATTTGAGTTCGTTCTCGTTTATACAGATCGGAAGCGAAATAACTTTGGTGCGAATTTGAGCTAATGCATGTGAATGGTAATGTATTCTAGAGCAACTGCCAACGAGAATCACAGTTTGCTCAAGTATATGCCTTTTTGTTCTTGTTTTTTATATTTGTTTGTAAATAAAGCTTGGTCGCTATTAACAAATAGAACTAACGGGTATTGGGTTGTATGAAAAACATGCTCGTTTCGAGCTGAGCAGAGATACTTGCTCTTCGTAACAAGAGGCCCGCGTTTAGGTGCAATTAGTATTCTTGTATGTCTGTCCTTCTGCAATTAGATAATTCAGTCCACACTGCTGTACGCATTAGCACTCATTAAATGGCATGGAGAACCAACGTTTTAGGAAGCCCTTTTACTCAAATGTTTCAAAACTTTACCATTTTGAATTCAAATATTTACTATTGTGACGCACAGTTGGGGTACTTTAGGACGCCTTAGTGGTTTTACACGGAGAAGGTAGCTGAAATTACGTTATACAACAGTGGTAAAAGCTTGCCTAAAAGACGCAGTAGGAAAAGGAGGACTTAGATGCTCGGCACCCAAGATCCTAACATACAAAACCTTGTTGGTACAAGCAAAGGAAAAACAATGAAAGAACGACACAGGTGATGATGAGATCAATGACAGACGTGTGACTAAGTTATGGAAGAGCTATACACTGGGAAAATTGAGTTTATATTCTAATAAACTCGTAGTTTTCTGAACCTATAGGTGCTAATTACTTACAATGACCAATTTCAGTTGGCAAATTTGAGATAACAAAAAGTACAACACTGTAGTGGTTACTAACAGAGAATCAATTCCTAAAAAAGGAAAAAGCGAAGAAAAAATGAGCTCTACAGCAATTTAGGACACAATTCAGTCTTTAGGTACTGCCTCCAAAAATGCAGTGATTCAATGAAACTATTTCAGAAAAATATTTTCTGAAGAAATAAATAATTCGAACTTCGAGAAATCCACACTCAAAAACCCCAAAGTTCCTTTAGCCTCAAACGTTTAAAACTTGTCATTAACAGGTCTAAAGCAGGGGTGACAAGAAAGCAACTGCACCAGCTGCACGAATAGAACTTCTAAATAGCAAAAACAATTTTTTTATAAAACTTTTCAATAGGCAGAGGAAAAAGAATGACAAACCACCGTAAGATATCTCACAAATAAAATTTTTTTGGAAACAGCAAACATAAAAAAAACTTAATCTTACAACAGGCTTAACGCAAAAAAAGACTGTAAGATAGTGGTACAAAAAAGAGTCACTTACTATGGCTGCTAACAAACCTACTCGCAGAACCGTCTTGAGATATTGGCTTCATCCCAAGCCGTGTTTCTGCGCTGTTAGAAGTGCGAGGATTGCCGTAACTGTTCCGTCGAGAATTTGGAGGTGCGACATTACACATCTGTCTTCGCAAACGACGACGCTCTAATTCACATCTGACGCACCTGGTCATATTGGCTTCACGTAAACATACTTTATGGTACGTATGTCCTTAAAAAGAAAAAAAGAATCAGAAAAAAAAAACCGATTTCCCTTTTTTTTTATTAACTTTCTGCATGCTCCAAAAAAAGAAAAAAAACTCCAAAACCAAAGTAGTGAAACTAAAACAAACCACAGTTAAACACAGTAACATAGCAGTCAGTATCTGAGACAACTGTTTTGAGCGGAAGAGTGCAGAAAGGACAGTTGCTGTAAAACACAAATGAACCCGTGTTTCAAAAGGATAATAACACTTGAAGGAAAAAAAGATTTAAAGGCAATAAAAGATATCACACCTGTGGTTATAATGAAGAATTATATTCATAGAAATAAAAAAAGTTAAAAAATAATGCCGTTACTCTCATCACCTCAAGCTTTCTCAAGAGTGAGGAAAAGCGTAGACGTTTGAAAAAATTCATAAAGCTGTTGAAAACTATATACCTGTACGCTGAAAAAGTGATGCACGGCGAATAAGCATTCATAATTTTCTGCTGACTTTCTGAGACTGTAGCATGCGGACCGCAATCGGTTATGTAGTTTATACCAAGTTCCGAAAGAACAGATGAAACTAACTAAAGTTTTCAAATAAATAAAATATTAAGAACTTATGCAAGTTGACAGTTTTCTGTCGCTAATGAGGGCAAACTGTTTAAAAGTCACAGGATTTCTTCCAATATTTCTGAATTATAGTCATAAATAATGCTAAATGAACCAATAAACCAGTCAAAAAAACCAGAAATATATTTTCATTAACCAATGAAATGTTACACATACAAATTAGGACACCAAAATAACCATAAAAATGCGTAGTTATGAATAAAAGGATCTAAATGATTTGTACCTGTCTCGGTAAAATCTGTTTCCACTTTTCTAAGTGATGGGCTTTTAGAATAACAAGCCACTGCCAATCTTTTTGCACCAAGCAGTTCCTTAGTTGATGAGCTGATAAAAGTTTAAACACCGCCTCCATTCCTTCGCAAAGTCGCATGCAATTTAGTAACTGAAAAAGCTCATTATACGCAAATGAGTAGCAAAACTGCATCTAGAGAACCAAAAATTTAGAATCCGAAATCACAAGAATGATCTTATTGGGTTTTAGCTCATTCAAACAAATTTTCTTTCCTCAGTTCTTGTTGGCAAACACCTATACACAATACTGTTACAAATGTCTCAGTCGACTAGTAATAGAAGACTGTTTTAATAATAACAAACAAGTTCAAATCAAAACTAAAAGTTCCTAAAAGAACTAGAGAGGAGAGAAGAATGATAAAATACAAAGGTACCAGTACAGATAATAAATATAATTAATGATGTCTCAAGTGTTCTACTAGAGCCAAAAGCAACTAAAGTTTGGAAAGCAAATCAGGCGCAATTTTTGTTCTGAAGGAATTAAAAAATCACCTGAGATATGTGTAGACTTAAAAGTGTAGAGTAGTGCTGCAGAAACCATCGCCTCTTTTCATCGTCGTATCGAGGAGTATTTTTCTTCCTTTCATCTTTCTCCCTTACTTCTGTGGTGGTCTCAGTCTCACTAGTCACTTCTTCCAAATCTACAAACAGTTTATGTTCTCGAGAAAAGTAAAATGTAGGATTTAGAGTCTACTCGCATGGTGAGGAATAAAAAATTACATAAAGAAAAGGTAACAAATGCAAAAGTACTTTTTCTCTCAGACTACAGCAAAAGCTCTTACACAAACTTAAAAGAAAAACTACTTATTGCAAACGGAAAAGCAACAACCTTCTGCTCTTTCCTTCACATCTTTAAAGAACAGTTCGTAAATAGAATCATTACTAAGTGAAAGAACATATTCTCTGACATACTGCCTGTTTCGAGAAGATTCTTGGCTTAATTTTTGCTTTCTGATATAAGACTCGTACATCGACTGTTTTTTGCTCCCTAAGAATAGTATATGCATTATATTCTCGCTTACTGTTACGTATGATTATACTTTGGCTTCCTGAAGAAAAGATTAAAAATTTGGCATATACTTAAAGGATTCGATAATTTCCAAAGCAAAAAAAAGAACAGAAAGAAGTAACTGTTCTTCTGTTATAACAAGCGTAGAATATACTTTGAAATAGACGCCTTCACATATAACAAAACTAGCGAAGTAATGATGTTAATATTTCAATTTTTTCAATTTGCCTTAAATGTCATCCTAAAAATACAAAAAACTCTTCATTTCGGCTCAAACTAAGCAAGCAATTATTCCCAACAACCAGTAATGCCCATAAATAAATGTAAATCAAACATATAAATTTATCTAAAAACCACCATTTAGAATCAATTACCAATCAACAAGGAGTAAAAACAGATGCAGTGAAAGAAGCTGGAAAAAATGTTACAACTAGCATTTGCTCTGTCAAAAGTAAAGCGCTAAAGAAAAGTAGTTATAAAAGCAATAGCTCAATGTTAGTAACAGGCATGCCGGTAGCGGCTTAAAAAAACAAACCTTCAAAGAAAAACCACGCTTCCGAAAGTAAAATAGTAGACACCTGTCCAGAAAATTACGATTTACTTACTTAAGTGTTTCCCAAACTCGAAATACTTCGCGCACTCAGAGCACAACTTCTTGCTGTCTAAGGCAAAGCTTGACTTAGTAGACAGATAACCATCAAAGAACTCACTCCAATGCCGGAAGTTGGAAGGAACGCCACCTGAATAGCTCTGTGATTTTGAACAGCATTAGGAACTTTTAAAACTCAAAAGATGAATAAAGAACGGAAGTCATCTGCTGCGAGCTGTACAACGTTCTACTATTGCTGCGCACCGTACAAGTCAAAATAAGTCTTATTTAAAATTAATTTAGAGAAACACTACAACTGAAAGAAAACGGTAAACCAATAGCAGAAATATCCGTTGCCAATTATCCAAAAGAAAAATTACCGAATTGGAACTGGTCTTTGGTTATTTTTAACTGCTCCATAACAGGTCCAAATGTCATAACAATATGCCAAGAACTGCAATTAAAGTCGTAATAATGCAAATAATAGAAGAAAACATTTGGTAATATTTTTACAGGAAAGTGCAACAAAAACTGATTATTACTCATGAAGACCGCAGTTGAGGCAACGATCATCAATAACTGAGTTATCAGACCAAGAAACCCGCGTATCATTTTTAGGACAAGACGGTACAGCACCCAATACAAGCTCAGACTTCACTTGGTTACTGAGACGAGGTGCAAAGTTTGACCCAATTAAACCGCTACAGCCCGACACTGGCTCGTTCGAAGTTCCGTTAGAACTGACAGCGACGCAATCGATTTTCAGTTCCTGGTCAACAACAAATTTCTCTATTAAACAAGTTCTAGAAGAGTCAGGAATAACGCTACGATTCACGCCGTACGGCAACTTTGAAGCCTTTGAACCGTTTTCCGACGATTCCTCGGGAAGTTCGGCGTTATCAAGCATCTGTAACACCTGCTGTTTTAAACGAGGAATAATCTCTTTCGCATTATCCATGTCCCCTTTCGAATCAACACATCCTACTTCATCTAAAGCACCATTTGCAGGAGAGTCGCCAGTGCGACCAACTGCAGTAAAATTCTCGTTTTCTTCTTCCAGCTGTAAACAAACTTTAATAGCTATGAGAAAATATTCAGTAGTCAGTATCCAGCATCCATAAAAAAGCTTTTAGTAAAGGTTCTCAAAAAAGTTATAAAAGGTTAGCTACTTTAAAGAAGTTAAAAACAGTAATGATAAACGTATAGATTAAATGAAAGTATTACACATGCTAAATCTCCAAACTAAACAAAACTAAAAAAATGCAGATTTTACTAGAAACAGAACCTTACAGGTAGGCCGTCGCCCATAAGGCCTAACCACTTTCGCTATTCTTGCCCCGCTAGTACTTCTTTTTACTGTCCGCAATCTTTCAACAGTCACTTCTGCTTCTGGATTTGAAGACTCTTCTTTAATTACTACTTCCTGCAAAATCCCTCCACATTAGCATTACTAAAAAATCCTTAGCCAGTTAGAAAATAAAAATAATTTTACAATAGACCCGAACTGACATTTTTAGCTTCCATAGGTTCCTTTAAGGCTGGTCCTTCTTTTTCTTGAATCCCTCCTGCATTGATTATCAAAAAATTTTTTGCTACCGACAATTCTCGAGGAACATCAGCTAGAGTCATCTAAAAGCCAATACAAATTTTAAGCAAACAGAATGAGCCTAAAGCTGTTATTTTTTTCTGCTTTGCAGTGCTTTTAAATTTCAATATTATCCTCTACACACGTCAAATTAAACCGAATATAATTGATTGTATGCGTCTTTCGGTCTACCAACCAGTTCGTTCACAAAACAATTCAAGATAAAAAACAAAAACAATCAAAACTAAATAGCAACCGGAGAATTGAATGTCACAGTTGGTGCTTCAATGCTTAAAATAGTTTTCAGCGACTCCGTACTTCCCAAAATCTTTCGATATTGCCGAACATTTGCATTATTCTAAAACCAAATAATATATCACTTGAAAAAATTATAAATTTATTATATCTATAGAGGAAATAAACGTCTGAGGGAAATTATACACATTCAAAACATCCAAGAAGAATAAATTTTGAGTGCCTTTTCAAAATTTTCAGCTCAAAGTCCGTTGAACAAAACATTTTACCAAACTATACAACTAGGAAGTGTAATATATGTAAACAGCGAGGAAAATTAACAAGAAGACAAATTGACGAAAAAGAGTTACCAACACATCTAAGGCTTCCTCTACCAACTTTTTTCGGTTCTTACAGCAACCGGTGAAATTTTGACAGTACTGAAGAGGGATAGACTCCCAACTACAGTGGCCTGCTGGAAAACTTCTTCTCCTACATAACGATACTTTTTGAACCAATTGTACCCTTAAAAACTTCCTGTAAATTGCTTATATAATGCAAAAAACTGAAAAGATCTACGCGAGAGCTTCTAAACTCCAATACAAACCGACAATTTCCTGGAACACTTCTGCTTCTCCTGACTCGCAATAACGACTTCCCCTTTGCAAATCTGTTTTGACAACTTCTTGCCTCAGGTCGCTGAACAGTTTCATATATTTTATCTAAAAGTGACAAAAAAGAAGAGAAATTTTAGCGTAAAAAAATCCTGTAGACATAAGTACCTCGGTCATAGCTGGTTCAAAACGTTAACTAATTTCAGTAAGAAAAACACTTTAAAAAATAATGGTAGTAGTTATAATAATCTTGCATAGAACCAATAAAGCAATAGGTGCTAGCAAATCGTCTTATAAAGTTCTGTAAAAAATTATTACAAGTTTCGGACAAACCGTCCCGTAACACTAACGGTTGATGAGTATTTCAACCAAAATATTGCAATATTTTTAACCCCAAGCTTTATGTTCATTACATACTTTCCAAAAGCAAAGGATGATAATTGTTCGGAAAAGGTGAAACTACAGGAGATGTCGATTTCTCTTCGTAAGTAAGAAGTTGTTCCAAGGTTTCAATATAGTTACAACGCAAAACCTAAAAAATAAAATATAATTTTCAAACCCCAATCATGTTTTTGAAAACCGTAAAACTTAGACACTAAATGACTCAAAATAGCAAAACAGACTTCTTTCTGTCGAAATGCTGAGGATTTTTTCACAGCCTCAATAATCGAAATCAGTAAAGCATGACTCCAAAGGAAATGCGCCGTGTGATAAATGCGAGATTCGAGCAAAATTATGACGTTGGCTGCCTAAAATTTCAAAAAATTAGTGTTGCAAAAACTGAGGCATCATTATTTCTTGAAATGAGCCGATCGAAAGAAAGAGTTAGAAACACACGAACTAATCATAGAATGGAAATTAAGTAACAGAAACACATAAATATATCTATAAAAACAAAAAACTAAGTAGCCTTTTTCTTCCAGTGCTAGTAATTATTGCTCAAAACAAAGAAGTCTTCTGTCCCTCATTCAGTTCAAAGAAAACTGAACTCAAATTAATTCTTTTAATCCCTAAAAGATTAGGATAACCCATTAAATTACTTCAAAATGACCAAATCCAAAAGAGAACACCAGAGGATTTCAATTTAAATGAAACTACTTTCAGAAGTAATATAATCTATTCTTAAGCATTCACACAGAAAATGTGTTACTGAATGTTTGGCAATTTTTTAAACGCCACCCCTAGTTTTAAAAAAGTTAAGGTTTCTTGGTTGAAGCAGCATGGTTTTATAGTTGCCGAGTGAAGGCGAAACCTTATGCGTGACCTAATGAAAAGTTAAGAAAAATAAGATATGGCAATCAGAGACTTTCCCACTTCCTTATCAAAATAACAGGGTTCCTTCACTCCTCTTACTTCAACAAAGCAGTTATTAATTTCGAAAATAGCTCAACAAATCTTTAAAGACTGTTTTATCTCACCTGAGTGTATAAATTTTGAGAGCACAGCCTTTCGACAGCCCTTCCTATACCCGAAATGATAAATTCACGCATAATACCCGTCTTCGTAGATAAGACAATAATGTGAGAACCACTGACAGCATATTCATCAAAATTAACTAAAAAAGACCCCCAAAAAGTAACAAATGTTTCCAACGTCATAGAAATATCCTTAAATTCAAAAAGAGTCGTATGGTTTCTTTCAAATGCAAAGCAAAATCCTCTTGAGTAATAAAGCTTTCACAAAAAAGCGAGCCCATACCTCCAACGTCACAACTCAGAATTAATTTACCATCTGACGGGTCAATCACACAGAACTTTGAAGTACTTCTTAGTAAAATAAACGACTTCCTGCAACAAATTTGCAAAAAGCCTCAACATTATAGTCTTTTCAATAACCATTAGGGTCCAGCAAAACAGTCTAGGATGTTGTACGAAAGAAGAAAACTAGAGCACTCTACAGTGGTTATATTATTAATTTATGCTGCTTTGCGCAAAAAACTCTCTGCTTATTGAAAAAGCCGGAAAATTACAGTTCACAGTCCAGCCGATGAACAAGCCCAAACGACAAAGTACTATCATTCTTGATACCGTCAGATAAAAACTCTTCTCGATAAGAAACCAAAGGGAATTCAGTTGAGTGAAGCAGAGTGCGATACTGATGAGTCCTTCAAATACAAATATAAAAAAGCGAAGTACCTTATTCATAATGCGATCAATTCAATGTTGATTTTGTTTCTGAACTTCAGAAGAAAAGTAAAACGATGAGAGAGTCCATACAAAAAAGTTTTGCAATATTTGAAATGATCTTGTGAACTAATGCCCAATTATAAAATGGTAGTAAACTTCTGACAGCTGAGAGGTAGCTACTTAAAACGAACTTAGGTTTCGGATAACTAATTAGAAATTAGTTGGGAAAGATGATAGAACTAATAAAATAACATCTTCAACCTTCGCCCCAACAGTAAAAAACACCTTCAACAATTGTTCTCAAGAATGACAAAAAATTTAAAAAATAACAGACTACAAAGCTGCAGCTAAGTGCCTAAAATTCCCTCTTGATGATAACAGCATAACAAATTTATATCGTACCTGTGCACCACTCCCTGTCTATTTGCCTCCCAAAGTCTTCCATTCGGCCGAGAGCTGAAAATCCGAAATAAATCATCTTCATCATCAGTCCCTGGCTTAATCGAAGAATCATCACAGTGACAACTGTCAGCAGAACCATAACAAAACACAGAGCCATAATGACCAAATCGAAGTTTTTTGCCAATCTTAACAACAAGAGTGACCCAGCAAATCAGGCAATCGGCATGGAGGGAAGGTTCATACCAACGACAAAGTTACAAGTGGCATATGAAAACAAAGGTATGAAGACTTGTTAAGAAAATTAAGGTAATGGAAAAGAAAGTACTAATTCTACCCGATAAAAGGTGAATCTAACAGTACCTGGATACAGCTTAAAGTTTCCAAGTTGTAAAGGCAAGATCGTGTTAGTGTTGAAACTAGTAAAAGGTTCCTTGCAGTATCGATCTGCACCACTTCGCTGTCAGTTTCCAGTATAACTTCACTAGCAGAACGGTTACACTTCCTACCCTAGAAAGCTTAGATACTTTATGTAACAGGATGCTGAGTCATTATGGAAGAGAAGAGCAGATTTTATGGTAATTTAGTTAAAAATAGCAGACACAACCAGAGTGCTTGGAATTAGAAGCTTTACCTATTAATCAAAACTATTTCAAAAAAAGAAAAGAAAGGACCTCTACAAAAGTACAACTAATATAGCCTTTTAGATCACCGGCGTAAATCCTACGGTTGTCAGAACTCCAACATAAAGCGGTTACAAAATTAAGTTGTTCTAAAAAGTAATAAATGGTAATAAATTATGAAACTCAAAGAACAGATAGGCTTCAGCAAACACTGACGAAATCATTTTATCTAACGCCAAATACACTGAAACTACGGCTATATGACGCCTAATTGCCAAAAGTTTTTAAAAAAACGTTTATGTAATTGAACAATGGAATGCAAAAGAATGTTAATGAAAAGATTTAGATTAAACAGAAACCAGGTGAACAGTGGCAGTAAGAGGTGACTAAAGCAGGACTTGGTAAGCCAAGAGGAGACAAAGGAAATATTGCCAGAGACCCTTTCCGGCTGGCGATAGCTAAATATTTCTCATCTGCTGATATAGCAAGCTGAAAAAGATTCACAATATC